CGCACACTGTGGCTCAGTGGCAGAGACTCTGCTTGGCATGCAGAAGGTCCCCGGTTCAGTCCCCCCCGGCATCTCCAGTTCAAAAGGACCAGGCAGCAGGTGATTGGAAAGACCTCTTTGCCTGAGACCCTGGAGAGCTGCAAAGAGGGGCCGTGTGGCTCAGTGGGAGAGTGACTGCTTGGCATGCAGAAGGTCCCCGGTTCAATCCCCGGCATCTCCAGTTTAAAAAGGACCAGGCAGGAGGTGATGTGAAAGGCCTCTGCCTGAGACTCTGGAGAGCTGTCAAGAGGGTTAGGGCCTCTGCTTCGCATGCAGAAGGTCCCCGGTTCAATCCCCGGCATCTCCAGTTAAAAGGACCAGGCAGGAGGGGATGGGAAAGGCCTCTGCCTGAGACTCTGGAGAGCTGTCAAGAGGGTTAGGGCCTCTGCTTCGCATGCAGAAGGTCCCCGGTTCAATCCCCGGCATCTCCAGTTAAAAGGACCAGGCAGGAGGGGATGGGAAAGGCCTCTGCCTGAGACTCTGGAGAGCTGTCAAGAGGGTTAGGGCCTCTGCTTCGCATGCAGAAGGTCCCAGGTTCAGTCCCCGGTGGCATCTCCAGTTAGAAGGTTCAGCTGATATGCAAGACCTCCCACCTGTGGAGAGCGACTGCCGGTCTGCATGGGCAGCACTGCTCTTGATGGGCCCCAGGGGTCAGACTCTGCCGAAGACAGCTTCTTCCTGTGTTCAGATGGCCGCGCAGGGATGCGTGGAGATGCAGCGGTGGGAGGGATGACATCATGGGAGGCGGGGGCGAGGGGGGCAAACCCATGCAGGGATTGATGGAGGGGATTGATGGAGGGGTGCAGGGCTTTGGTGGCCAGGTGAGCACAGGATCACACCTGAAGCTGCCTTACACCCCTGGGGGGTCTCTCAAGGTCAGTCCTTGTAACAGACAATGTTAATACTAAGTTTATGAAGAAAAGAATATTTTCTTTTATGCGGTTAAACCGGTGTATACTTATCTGCGATTAGAACGTTCCTTTGTAAGTGGTCGTTGATGTAAACTTATGCTAAAGAATGCTGATATTATTTACTGTCAATGGATAATTGGAGATTGAATAAAATATAGTTTAAGAGAAAGAAAAGGTCAGTCCTGATTTCCAGTGTGACTGTCGGTGGGCGGCCAGGGTCTCGGGCAGAGAGGTCTTCTGCGTCTCCGGCCACGTGGTCGTTTTAGCTGGCAGTCCTGGGGGTTGAATCTGGGACCGCTGCACGCTAGGCAGAGGCACACTGGCCGTGAGCCAAGCGAGGGGGTTGAGAGTCGGGGCCGGCCGTGAGTAGAGTGTGAACCAGAGGTTGCATCATGAAGGGGTGGGGGGGGGCCTGTCTTTTTGTGATGTTCTGAAGAGGGGAGTGTCGTGGTGGCACACTAAACTGGGGATGTGCAAGAGAGCAGAGGGAGCCAGAGATCACACCTGGGCCTTGCGCCTGGCCTGTGGGAAGACGTGGGGCATGTCCAGGGGATTGTCCGAGGAGAGGACAGCTGGAGAGGAAAGGGGCAAAGGGCCGCCTCAGACACCCCAGGAGAACGAGGAGAGCCGGTTGCTGGAGAAGCCACTGACCCGAACTTGTCTGCCTTCAGGTTTGCCGAGGACCTCCGTGTTTGACCGACTGGGTGCCGAGACCAATGCGGACACGACCACAGGAGCGAAGGTGCGGGAGGGGAGGGGAGGTGGGGATGGCCCTTCCGTTTGGCCCGGGGACCCTCAAACAGGGCCCTTGCGAGGGACCTCCATGTCACTCTTCTGTGTGCCTGGGCTGGTGGGGCACCTGGCCTCCCTGGAGCCAGTTTGGTGTTGTGCTTAAGAGCGGTGGACTCTAATCTGGGAGAGCTGGGTTTGATTCCCCACCCCTCCTCCACTGGCACCTGGCTGGGTGACCCTGGGCAAGTTCTGACAAGAGCTGTTCTCTCAAGGGCAGTCCTCGAATGAGCTCTCTGAGCCCCACCGGCCTCACAGGGTGTCTGTTGTGGGGAGGGGGAGGGAAAGGAGATTGTGAGCCACTCTGAGACTTCTTCGGGTAGTGAAGGGCCATGGGGTATGAATCCAATCTCTTCTTCCCTGGGAGGGAGGGCTGGGGGCTGCCTCTCTGGGGCCTCTGCTCCTCCTGACGGGTGGGTGGGGGTCTCTGCCTGCCCCTCCTTCCTGCCCGGGCCTGTTTGGTCCTGCATCCTGTCTCCCCCAGCAGCCATCCGGAGGCCCGGCAGCGCTGGGTGCCTCTCCGTCCTCTCCCTCTCCCTGCTCCGCACTTGCTGCGGCTGGACCAGGGGGGCTGCGCGGGAACTCCCAGGGGAGGCCGGGGTTCCGTCTCATAACTCTCCCCTTTGGTGTCTCGGCAGCCCACAGGGGTCTTCAGCCGGCTGGGGGACATGCAGGAGGCGGCAGAGGACAAAGCGGCCGAGAGCGAGGAGGACGACAGCTCCGTCCTGCCGTATGCCGGGGTGCTGAAGAAATCCTTCCGGCCTCCCGCCCCCAAGGAGGAGGGCGCCCCGGCCGGGGTGACCGTCAAGGCCAAGGCCACCAGCTCCAAGTCCCAGCCGCCCCCGGCGGGCAAGAGCCCGGCCAGCTCGGGGGGCCCCCGGAAGGAGAAGGCGCTCGAGTCGCCCTCCCGCGGCCAGGTGGCCCGGCGGCTGGGCAAGCGGTCCCTGCCCGGGGACCCCCAGGACAGCAGCGTCACCAGCTCCCGGAGCCGGCCGGAGCCCGACCTGCAGGTCACCATCCAGAGGACGCTGGGCAGCGCCAAGGTAAGCAGCACCTCGGAAGGCCACAGCGCCCAGATGGACAACACGGGGACGGTCAGCGTCTTTAAGCGGCTGGGCAGAAGGACAGTGGTGTGACGGACGCCTCGGGGCACAACACCTGCCTCTCCACTCTTTCTTCACGATCATGCGTGGGGGGGGGGCCCTGCCTGGAGGAGGAGAGGAGACCGCTTGGACCTGGTGTTTGTTTTTTAAACTCCTCCCCCCCCCCTTAACACAAAAACGGTTTCCAGCACTGGCCCCGGGCAGGTGAGTCGGTGTGTTTCTGTGAAGCTCCAGGTCAATTGTCCCAGCTGCTCTGCGCCTGCCCCTTCCACGTGCAGAGTTGGGGGGGGGGTCCCTTGTGCATCTGAGTGATCACCCCCCCGGCAGGTGTGAGGACCTGGGAGAGACCTGCCCATCCTTCGTGGCGGCTCCGGACTGCACTGAAACGCCCCCCCTTTCTCTGTGTCTGTTCTTCCCCTCTGCAGGTCCTTGCACTTTCCTAGGATGTAGTCTCTTGAGAGGGGCTCCAGCGGCAAGGGGCTTGTGCGGTGCTGGAGCC